CTTCAACACCCTCTATTTCGAAGATGATGCATTTTCGTATAGAAATTAGGTACATTTTACAGAATAAAAAATAAATAACATAGAAATGGGACAATTAAAGAATATATAAATAGCCGCTGAAGAAAAAAGAACAGGATAAAATTTTAGAGGCAATAAACATTAGAACTGGAACAGAAAAAACATTGAACATGATAAGAGAAACGGAATTGAAACAGAGTAAAGAAGCCGATGTTAAAGATAAACATATAGTAAGGTTTGGACATGTCCGAAGGCTGGCAGATGCGAGAATAGCGAAACAAATCTTACAGTGAAAACAAAGAGGCAGAACAGTTTTCGATATGAAATAAAATGGCTTGGGAGCGGATCTTTGGAGAGACGAAGATGAATCAGGACACCTAAAACGTTGTATACCGATGGCTGAATAAATATAAAATATTTTAACTAACTTCAATTTTTGGAAGTACATGTTCCATTGTAAGCAGGATACTGTATTGGCATAGTTTATGTAATTTAAACTTTGACGGATTTGAATTTATTAAAGTTTGCTTGCATCCATAATTAAAGTAACTTTGTGCAGCACAAACATGATAAATTAGAGCCTAAATTCTTGAGAAATTAATGAAATATACTAATAATTCGTAATTATTATTCATGTCCGTGTTGATTGCCATAGAAGAGAATTTGTTTCAGCTATTGAATTAAATATCTAATTACGTGGTTTTAGAAAGCTTAAATTAATCACATATTTTCAAAACTCAACAAATATTCGTATGTCCTATTGATTATTATATTGCTCAAATATGGTAAAAGTTTTGATTAATGAAATTATGCAAACGGTCCTTCAAATACAAACCAACTAACCCAACCAAACAAGCCAACCAGGCAGCTTGAATAAGGTTTGCAATTAACAAATTTGTATAAATCCCAATCAAAATAATCCTTTCCGGATTACCATACTATTGTGGTAAATATGTCGCTATTCAAATAGTAAATTATAGTTAGAATCAATAATAGCATCAAAATGTAAAGCCATCAGATTGAATAATTAAAATTTAATATTACATTCTATTACTCTCTCATTTATGGCTTCTGAGTAATTAGAGCCGGTCATGGTACCAAAAGTGTACTCGTACATATCGAATCAACGTTTGCTTTTCAAGTTTAATCTAATCATTTGTTTATATGTAACCAAATTTGCTAAAATAGCCAATCAATGCATTTACCTAGCGACATAATTAGGACAATGGACACCAGGAACGGCGTTGAAATTTCTATAAAATAATTAGCTTTCTGTTGGATGAATTACGTTTTGTTAACCGTAAACAAACTAAACATTAGAAAGTGGAAATTAATTTATCAGGCTTCTTATTAGGTATTTATTATTTTAATCGAATTAGCAAAGATATACATTTTATTTTCCCCATATAATGAAATGAGATCGTGAGGACAGAAGTTATGCAAATTTTCACCACAACGATATAAGTTATGCTCTGCGTCTAGCCATAACTTTTAACCCTATGGTTGGTTCTGAGGCTGTTAATTTCAAGGTTTATTCGCTTTTGTCATAAAAACCGGCTTATTTTGGTCGACGACGACATTTTTCTCCTTTCAATCTCTCTCTGGGGTAATAATATCTATAAGTACAGAATATTTTTTCAGCAAGACAATTTCGAAGGTCTACTTTTCTTATTCGTTTTATTCAAGGAAAAAATTGACCATGTAAAAATTACTTCAATTAAGGGAAATTATAACAAATAGAGGAGCAAAATCACATGCCAAAATCTATACGCTTGTTATGTCGCGATAGAGAATTTACTACAATTTGTTTTCATTTTAAAATTTAAGAGAACTCCTAAGTCCTCTACGATTTTGATCCGGAGTTCCAGGCTTACCTCTCGAGCACCAGAATGGGTAAGTCCAAAGCAATCTACCCGATGTCTTGCCCCCATAATAGATTTGACCGGATTTTCATTGTTCATTTTCAGTTATGAAATCCTAATGTGCCTTCCAACTAAAAGGACCACAATTTAAAGTATGTAACGATACTAGTAAAATCAGTATATTTAACACGTAAAGTGCCATCAGGGACATACCCTGTCCTCCACTTTAGAGGTTGTGTGAGGGACAAATCCTGTCCGACATCTCAATTTTTACTTATGGTCTTATTACACAGCGCCAGCGTGTGTCAGATACTTCCAATTAAACTGCAGGTAAGTGGATTTGAACATTAGGATAGAAAAACATTTGTGGTATCAATCACTTAAAGTATTTAAAGGTGGTATTTTTGCCCTGACAGTTGATTTTTAAAATCAGATTTATACTTAAAAGAATAATGAAAACCGTATAGAGTATAGGATTTGGAACACGATGTTCATACATTAGTTAAAAAAAAAACATTCTAATAGGTTATGTGAGGAATTAGAAACCATTGAAAAAGAAACAGATCAGCCGTTATTGACATTTTATACCTTTTTAATATTTATACTATAATTGCATGATGGTCGACGGTATAGGAACTTTCTGATTGGCCGGATTTGACTGGTGGCTATACGAACTTTTATGCTGACGAGCATTTGATTTCAGTCCCAACATCATGAAAGATATACCTAAGCAGCCCTGAGAAGAATTTAAAATCTTGGCAAAAATGCGACATCCCCTCAGTATATTTAAATCTTTTTCATCTGATAACCAAAAATACATATGTATTGCGAAAATTCATTTTAAAACCCTGATGCTGTAATAGATGCATGAGGAAAACTATTTTATATTTTAAAAGATTTGATCTTGAAGGAATTTAAAACCCATGCCGCGGAAAATAAAATATTAAATTCGGGAATCGAATGCCGAGAAAAATTCTTCTCTTTCTGTGATCCAGTGACGGGGCAGCAATGGAGAAAACAAATTGTATGAATCGAGAATCCCTTCGTGTGTGAGTTTTGATCGACTGCCTCGCTCCGATATGTCGATATCGGCTCTAAGGTTGAATTGAAGCGATTTGGACTCGAAGCAATTTGATAATTAGTTGGCTCAGTGTGATATCTCGGCACGTATACGTGCACCGGATTTGCTCGGGATTTTGTCCCCAAGCGAGGATTTGCAATGGCCTAACTGATGCTTGTTTTGACTGTCTCGAGAGCGTGACATTTTCGATTTTTCAACGCTGACGCCCTCGGAAAACTTAATTGAAAATAATCGATGAATTATTCAAGTTGGGCTCAGAGCTATCTTAATTAAACGTCGAGAATCGATAAAAATTTATAGGGAGTTTTAATGGTATCGTTCTTAAAATTCTCAAATAAAATGTTCCTTCTACTTATCTAATATTTCTTTTTTTATCATTTCTATGTGTGAATCGAACTAATTCATTATTTTAAACAAACCTCAAGGATTTGCAACAGAGCTTTGTATGTTGAATTCAAATTGTAGCATGTATTTTGGTAACTAAGTCTTGCCAAGAGCAGGATTTAGTTATTGAAGTAGCTTTTGTAGTTATTTCCGGAATATATAATGTAAGGATGGCTTTTTTTTAAAAAACAACATGAAAACATACAATTTAATTAATGTACTTTCATGTTTTCTATTTAATTTTCAAAAGTTAGAGAAATTGAGAGAATGCCATTAGGTAGATTTAATTTAAATGAGAATTGAATATGCGAAAGCATTTTCATATTTTGAAAAATAAATTAAATGTGTTTTAATGCCTTTAGTTCAGACGGACGAAGAGTTTTCCAGTGTTGCTTCCTTTGCCGACAGGGCTTTATGAGAATTTTAATTCCTGGAAACAGTTTTGAAACCAACAAAACCGTCTGGCCGGGCCGAAGGTACAATTTTGCGAACAAATATATGGAAGGGAAAATATGATCATAAATTTCAATAACGCAAGCCAAATTCCCTTGTGAAATATTAAAACTTCCTAACTGTATGTAGGTTTCGTGCAGACAGCTTAGTCAAACTGTTCGCATTGTAAATCTGCATGAATTTTAGGACAAGATTCTTGTTTAACATCAAAAGACTGATTTATCGATTCTAAGTGAGAAAAATAGAAATTATTTGATATGAGCGTGTGGTTGTAACATGGCCTAGACTAGAGGACAGCATCCACCATTGGCTGGTAAATTGATATTTATTAATTAACAGACTGTTAGGTCTGGTAAGGTAAACTCATCTGTTAATGCAGAAATTTCGAGCTCTTGGAGGGATATTTAATTTTTTAAAAAAAATCTTGAAAAGTATGAGTATTTACTCGAGTATTTTAATCGCACACCCGATCCCGATGCACTCTAAGGATAAATTACAATATTTTGGAACTCGTTTAAAAAGAATCAAATAAGTATCAATGATCTATCAAACTATAGGTGATATTACGATAATTTCTTTTGCTAGAATTAAAAAACTTCATAAATGTATATCAGTGATAATATATCCAATAGAATTAATAAGTTCAATTAGTATAAATATTTAGAAATCAATGAGCAACTGATGGTTGCTTCTGAAAGCATTTCCAATAACTCGCAAAACAAGTCTTCAATTGTTTGTAAATTTGCCACGTAAACCTTACCTGGCCCTTAAAAATATCAAATTCTTATCTAAACCGGGGAAACCGGGATTGTGCTTCCAAATGACTATTTATGCAGAGACGCTTATACTGCATATATTAATGAAGACCATTCATGTGCTGTTCAACGAATAACTAATATATAAAATCAGCGAAAACCGTTTTCTGAACTTTTACCCTCTTCGTTAAAAAAATTTCAGGGATAACGGACGTCACAATTTTTCAGATTTTATCTGGAATATCATCAAACATGAGGAAAAAATATTAAAAATTGAGATCTTCCACAACCTGACCCACATATTCTTTTAAAACCAATGAACTTGGGGCTTGTATTGAATAGTGAATAAAAAATATTTTCATAAGTCTCTTGAATCCCAGCATGTCTTTGATGAATGCGACCCTTATGAATACAGATATTTTTTCAAATACTATTAATGATAGATACCTTTTTGAGATGGCCGGTGCTTGTTCCAATGAACACAACCGTGAAGTCTCCAGTTGACGTAGCAACTACTGCAGTTAATCTGGTGTTGAATAGAAGAACTGGAATTGCCGCAACTGCTTGTTCACCACCAAGGGGTGTGTTAACGTCTAGACCACAAAAATCTTCGCCGATTGATGATAATTTCTGAAACAAAAATAAATAAATAAAGATGATGCATATTTGAAAGGCGAAGTATGGGAATATTTTTTGATATAGGGTTAGGCTTCGATTGAGTATTGTGTTGAAGTGTGTAAATCAATGAGGATAACAAATATCATTTGAATAAATCCAAGCCACAAACATGTGGTCGGACCCGACAAAAAATATCTATTTGGATCCGTAAAGTAGGAATTTCGCACAAAGCCGCCATTATAATGGACACAACCGCAACACAGAGCGCGTTGATGGCTCCTGTGAATTGTTATCCGATTTTGTGGCAAATTTGGCATTCATAATCATTAATATTCCTTTCCGAAGCACACTTCTCTTTAATAATTTTTTTTTTCGTTTTTGCGGATTCACTGTAAACATTTTAAGATGTATAAGGTATCGGCTTTAAGACCATTAATATTTATTTTTTCCCTGCGGTTGCAACATACCTACCTATTTTGAAAATTTCTTCTAAAAGGTAGTATGAAAATAGTTGGTTATATTCAGCAATATTTTAACAAGATAGAGGAATAATAATTTTATTTTCACAACTATTGTTTTGTCGAATTAACGATATTCTGTTAGGCTGAAGAAGGCATACTCATTTACTTCCAGTTCCAGCTATATAACACATGTTATTGGTTGCCTTCTTATTAGAATATTTTCCAGGAATAAAAGAGAAGCGTCTAAGTGTACAATTATTCCACTTCTATCACACTTTGTGAATTGTCATACCTTCTTATTCGTGAATAGACCTATTTAATGTTTGTGTAAGACACCGATGGACATAGAAATCTGAGGCTGCTGGAAAGAGTAGGTAACTAGAACATCCAGGTTCTTCTGGTCTGGATAAAGAAGCCGTGAACACCCCTACAGGTCCGCATAGAACGTGATGAGTGGGGGGACAGACCAAAACCCAAAAAAAAGCCATGACGCTCAATCGTATAGTCCGGAGATTACCGTTTGCGTTCCATGTCCGAAGAGAAAAGCCATTGCGCCAGAGGTACCTCTAGTACTACCTGGTACACCAAAGACCAACTAGAGAGAATATGCTTTGATCAAAATGTGTATACTATAAATCAATGCAAAAAGGGACATGCGGACTCCGCATCGAGATCTAGTGGGGTGGTCCCTTTCCTCCCCCTATTCCAGAGAGCAATATCAATACATCCTCAGAGGGCCGCCTTACCCAAGGGCCAAGGCATCTTGTAGAGTACGACGAGAGAACTATGTGTCTCGTTGAGACCCTTTAGTCAACGGCAAGTCGCTAAGGGCCCTTTGTGATAAAAATGTTTACAAAAATATTAGGTGAAATAAAAATATATAAATAAGAAAAATATTCAACAAATTGATAAGTACACGCAGGCAGATGGAGGCTAAAACGATATTAAATTCCTTTTTAAATTCTTACTTAATGCAAAAGTCTGAGAATACAGGGTGGTTTTCCTAAGGAATTTTATATACTTGCCTACGTTGAAAATATGCAAATATTTGAAGTAAATTAAATTTTTTAATTGCTTGGCCTTAATATAATTTTTATTCTAAAAAAATAGATATAACTGTTTTGATTATTTGAAAAGAAAAAAAATATTGTAGCTAAAATTTTAGGTCAAAGTAATTTGATGTAAATTTTACCCACGAACCAAGAAAGAAATCTTCGGACCTAGAGGGGGTGAATTATATTAAGTCAGAAATGCAGCACGAATCGGACTATATAATTTCGTATAATTTCCAATAAATCTGCAAAAATGCCGATCGGTTATTTTAATGTGTTTGCCCGGCTGGCCGGCAACGTAGTCATTACCGATCGGGTCGATTTAAAAGTGTTTCACTTCTGTATAATCAGCAATGCCATCCAATCCGCTTTGGCGCACTCTTTCCCTTTATCAGCTAAAACTTTCAGAAGTAGTTGAGTTGAGAGTGTGGAGTAGAGTGCAGAAAAAGAGGAGAGAGATCTTATTCCACTTTGAAATTTATTTCTCATTCTCATAATCATTCAGAAGACGCGACTAGGCGAATGGCGTCTCTCACATCCAAACTATCTATCTTATTACAAATAAACATAGTTTTCTACTTACAGATTTGAATTAGATAAACGCATTGAACTTTTTATGCTTTCGCTTGCTGAAATAGTTCCTAGAACTATTCAGTTTTTTCACATGAAACGCTTGAGCAATAACAGAAACGATATTTTAACTACATTTTCAGTTCAACTTTTTATTCTCCACATTTTTACTTCTCTGCCAAATAGTTACACTGGAAATAGGCAAAGTATTTTGATCCTGACGAAATTCAATTTTGAGATACTGAGTTTTTTCTCCTTTTAGAGATTACAAAAAAAAGCTTTTCAGGAACGAGAGTGAACATGTGGGTATAAACTAAGTAAAATGTTTACAACAGCTTTATTCGGGTTCTTGCAATAACTGTTTTAGAACTATCAGGAGTGTGCGCAATTTATTATTTCCTGTTCAGGTTTTATCGATCTTAGGACGGTTCTGGATTCAGTAGTTTTGCGTTCTGGTTAAAGTCAGAATTCTTCTGGGACGGTACTAGAAAAGTCAGAATCGATCCCTGCTTAAGAGCAAGTACTATTATCACACACTTGCGCATGTCGTACAACATGAGTCCTATTTTGAATTTTGACACATCAGAAGAGTTAAGATATCAAATTTTCTTTTTTTGGTATTTTTGCTAATTTATGAAAAAATCTACCCTTCAAATCAAAGTAAACATCTTTGGAGGGTTATGTTTTCAAATGAAATGTCAAATCAAATTCTTGATTGTTGTATTCCGGATGCGTTCGGGTTTTTTGAATTTGTGGACAGTCCGAGAACCGTCCTTGGCACCAAAACCGATGCGCATGCAATTCTGCGCTGTCAGCGAATCATTTGATTGATATAGAACGGTTCAAAAAATTGAACCCAAATTTAGTTGATATGAGATAACTAAATCTGTCAGTGAAAATCTTCCAGTGACATTGCACCAAGTCGGTTCTAGATGTACCTCTAGAATGAGAGTCAACGTATCCAATGTTTACTGGAGATCTTATAATAAACGCTGTTCGGCGTTTTCGCACCTCGTCAGTGCACCAACTCGACGTTAATCATTCGAAAATAATTGACTTGGTGAACTGGTTCTGTAGATCCTTACTGCACTGGAGGTGCAAGAACAACAAAACGCGTCTCCAGTTATAATCCACAGCAAAAACTGGGTACTGGTTTGACATGATTTACTTGTCGTAAATAAACTACTTCAAATAATAGGTAAAAATAATTTACGAGAGTAGGAATCCATATGTAAAGAAGATCACGTAAAAAACACTCACCAACTATTATTTTCTCTATTGAACATTGAAATAAATTAATAATTGTTTTTATTTCGTCTGTTTCATGAACATAGAAGCAAAAGAATGCTCTAAACAAGAAAAATAGTTCGTCAGGAATAGACGTCATTGTAAGAAGGAAGGCCATTTAAAATAATTAGGGAAAAGAAATATAGGAAATCAATACCCCACCAGTGGGAAAAAACTTATCCAAGCAACGGAAACATAGCTTTACTGGAATATATATTTTTTTATTATTAGCTATTCTATTTATTGTGCTGCGGATAAACATCAAATATCGACAACTTAAGCTCCTACAGAAAGAATTTATTATGCAGGAGGTGGTGTATTTTTTCTATTTTCTAGACATTTTATGGCTTAAATTGTAGTTATGTGGCAATAATAACTGAGAAAATGCGCTATTTTGCAACGCATTGAAACATTTTCTCACATTGAGTACAGCACTACTTTCGAATTGGAGGTTGCACCAGGTTCAGGGAGAATCTTAAGTATAATATCTTCTTACTTGATGAATTAGGATGCTCGGGAGGATGACTATCTTAAAATTTAAATTTTTTCAGCATTTTGGTTCATCAGTTCAAATTTGAAGGTGATGGAAGCAAATGTAAACATCGAGCAATATGTAGTTTCTTCTTCTGATAGGAGACTCCGTTCATCGCTTCCAGTATATCTTTACTTCAGTAGTTCAAAATTCTGGATGAAGAGCACACTAATTTTCATAATAATTTAGGAAAATACAACACATAATTTTTCCAATAATGTCGGATAACTAGATCAGTCTCAATAATAGAGAATTATGGCACTTTCCAAATAGTGATCGATTTTATTACTGATCGGCCTTATTTAATTACTGACAGTCACTATTTCTCATGAATAAAAAGAATTATGGCACAACATGTTCAATTGGCACTATTTTGATCATTTTTTCGCGTCAGTGTCGCGTTGTTTATTCAATTGTAATGGAAGAAAACTTAGAAACTGCCATCCTATAGGGGGTGGAAATGATATTTTTCGGTTTCATCCATCCACAAAACACAAACAAAAAATATAAACAAATTATGTGAGGTTAGAATCTGAAAAATTCTTGGACAAGTGACATATGATTTATATTTGCGCATGTCTCAAAAAATAGTGGAATAAATACTGCCTTTCACTATCCAATTATAAATAAGGATGATCCTTATTTTATTACTGACCGCCACTATTTTTAGTCACAAATACGCATGCGTAGGTGTCAATAATGTCAAAATAAGAACGTTTTTATTAGTGACAGTCGCTATTTCAAGGTGCCATAATTCTCTAATTTCTATTGAAAAATCCTCCAAATGTATGCCTATTAGAAGAAAGGAATCCCCTTAAATATATTTAGAGAAAAAAAAAATTATTATGTGTTTTTGATTTGAATATGATGACGTATTTTCTTTAATCCTAATATTTCAGAAGGGTGAAGAATAACTGTGGCAACTGTTTTGTCGCGATAAAAATATTCAGCAAATGCATGCAAAAGCCAATGATACTATGGAAAATAAAGCACTAGAAAGTAACGCAGCGGAGTTGCGTGATTGTAATTGCCTGGGGCATTTTCAATTTAGTTGAAAATCACACTTAATATGCACAATTTATCAGAAAGAGCATTCATTCGATGGCCATA